ATACATGATATCATACATATGCACATCAATTTGTTTCACGATCTGATTCAAGATGGCCGAATGGCGGCCATTTTTGTGCTAAAAATCATCAAAATCAAGCATTTTCCGGCTGTTTACTGATGGATTTTGTTCAAAATTGGTATATACATTAGACATCATAGGACCTTGATACACATCATTTTGTTTTTCAGATAAGATTCAAAATGGTCGACTGGTGGCCATTTTGTTTTAATGAATGTGGTTCTCCTGCCATATGTCTGACTTGCTTTCACTGATTATGTTAAAATTTTAAATATTCATTATACATCATGTCATAGATGGACAGATATATTGGTTTGACAATCCTATTCAAAATGGCCGAATGTTAGTCATTTTTGTGCTAAAAAAATCATCAAATATCAAGCATTTCTGACATTTATGGATGGATTTCATTCAAACTTGATACATACATTAGACATTACGGGTTCCTGATGCACATCATTTTATTTTTCAGATCAGATTCAAAATGGCTGACTGGCGGCCATTTTGTTTTAATGATTGGGCTTCTAGAGCCATATCTCTTAAATGCTTTGACTGATTATATTCAAATTATATATATTCATTATACATCATGTTATATATATATATATATATATACATGTATTTAAAATGGCTGATTTTGAATGCTGTTCCAGAGCAATATCTCTCAATATGGACACTACTTGTTTGACGATCAGATACAAATGTCAATCATTTTAATGTTAAAAAATCATATTCCTGACATGGTCATATTCCAGCTATATTACTATAAACAAAACTATATATCTTAAATTCGATATCTAACGGGGACTGTGCCATGCATGGCGTGTATTATTTATGCTGTTCGAAATTTGTTGATTGCATGTTCCTTCCTTTCCTGCTGCCTATCTAAGTCAATTTCTCCTATGGTGCACATATACTGTAATTAATTAGACCATAGACCCTGTCTATGATTAAACTGATAGTACCCACACCAAAATTATGCTGTTTGTAATTTCAGCGAACACAGTGAGATCCAGCAATGGATCAATGTCTGGTAGTGGAGTAAAGACATGGTCAAAACAAGCAATTGATACAGCATCACAACAGATGACTCAGGCAATGAGAAACAGACGCGAACCATCTAAAAATTCAGTGGTATGTCAAATGCATTCCTTTGACGTTTGTCAATATATTTTATCTCATCACATTGTGACAAAATACATATATTTGTTTTGCATATCTGATGAGTTATTGTGTCTTGTTATTGCCAGGAACAAGCATCTTATGAGCGTCGTCTGAGTGCAGCAAAGGCTGCTGCAGCAGGACTTATTCCCAGACCAATTGATCAGTTGATGAACAAGTAAGTGTCTATTCCTACCTCACAACCATAATACCAATTGGGTAGCATTCATGTTTACCATGGTGGTAGCTTGGGTTGCTTTCATGTTTACCATGGAGGTATCTTTGGTTGCATTCATGTTTACTATGCATGTATCTTTGGTTGCATTCATGTTCACTATGCATGTATCTTTGGTTGCATTCATGTTCACTATGCATGTATCTTGGGTTACTTACATGTTTACCATGCAGGTATCTTGGGCTGCTTTCATGTTTACCATGCAGGTATCTTTGGTTGCATTCATGTTTACTATGCATGTATCTTTGGTTGCATTCATGTTCACTATGCATGTATCTTTGGTTGCATTCATGTTCACTATGCATG